CGCGCGCGCGCGCGCGCGCACGCAAGCACTGATATGCACCCACGAATGCACGCACGGACACATGCGCGCGCGCACACACACACGCGCGCGCGCGTGCGAACACACGCACATGTGCACATGCGTAATTCCACGCACACACACATAGAAATAGATAGATAACCATTATAATTAGATTATCATTATAATTATACATGGTTATCTATCTATTTCTATGCACACACAGACGAGCCAGCACGCACTCACGCACGCGCGCCCGCACGTGTACGTGCACACGCACGCACGCCGGCACGTGTACGTGCACACGCACGCACGCACTCACGTGTACGTGCAGACGCACGCACACAAACACGTGTACGTCCGCACGCACGCACGCACGCACGCACGTATATACGTGCACACGCACGCACGCACGTGTATTTGCACACGCACGCACGCACGCACGCACGCACGTGTACGTGCACACGCACGCAAGCCCGCACGTGTACGTGCACACGAACGAACGCACGCACGTGTACGTGCCCATGCACGCACGCACGTGTACGTGCACACGCACGCACGCACGCACGTGTACGTCTAGGGGAGTCATTAGTAGTCCTCCTGTACTTTTCAAATCTGAAAGCCTGCATTGCTAACCGGCAGGTATACAGCCAAGCAAATATGCCTCTACGCATGACAACTTGCGAACTGCGCTCTGGCCGCGTGGGGTGTCACAAACAATTAATTGCCTGACACGGGAGCTAATGTTCCAAACGGTGTAGAGCTACTAACGTCTCTGATAGAATGCAGGGACTAATGTATATATCCCCGACATAGGGGGGGAGCAATTTACATTGCGAGAAGGGAACCAAAGGCTCTAAAGCTAGAGGATCAGTTTTTTCATCTAAACTTTAGCGTTTAAAATAGCATCTTTGATATTTTTCAAGAAATAATTGCCATACATACTTATAACTTTAATTATGTAGTGTAATATATCAGACGTAAAGATAAATAAACTCATCACACTTTTGACTATTTTCATAGGTTACTGCCACTAGCACAAGACTTCTCTGCCGTGTTACTGATTTTTTTCTGGATGGTAGTGGGAGATGCATGGGTTGGGTTGTAGGCCTCTGCCACCCACACCTTTTGACATCATTCATGTCCTAGTCTAAGTAGGACGTTGTATATATTGTACATCACACAACTAGCTAGTAACTGTGAAACATTATAAGGCACCTGCTGCAGCCCTAGAACAATTTTGTAAGCATTCTGGTTTTTCCGCAAAGAGTTTTTCCCTCCAAGGATGAGGTGTCATGAGTTATCGGATGCATTCTGGTGTACTAGTGAAGCATGTACGATCAGGTGTGGCGTCGACCACACATTGCCATCATAACTGAGAACATACACTAGAATTTGGCGAATTCTAGAGAATAACTCTCTTGGGTGCAATAACTTTAAAATGAGAGGAATTTCTTTTCTGAAACTAGTAGGGGATGTTTCCTGAAACCTAGACACTATCAAAGAAACACAGTCACCTATGTCTATAAGACTATAACACTTAGCATCTTAACCAGGCTAGTATACACATGTATGTTATCAAGATGTTATACATAAATACAGATTGCATGCCCACCTCTCACTATCTTTGGGTTTGAATGTTTTCGGTCCAAGCTCTATCCGTGTACTATTTGTGTAATTATCCAACACATGGAGGTAGTGGTATGGAGGAATATGGTAGATCGAATCCCTCGCTTGATTGCCTGTGTTTCTGTTCATCTTGACTTATTTCAACACACGTTCTTGTACTTTTGGTATAATGTTACTGTAAAAATTGATATATTACACTACATAAATATAGTTATAAGTATGGCAATTATTTCTTGAAAAATATCAAAGATGCTATTTTAAATGTTAAAGTTTAGATGAAAAAACTGATCCTCTAGCTTTAGAGCCTTTGGTTCCCTTCTCGCAATGTAAATTTCCCCCCCCCCCATGTCGGGGATATACATTAGTCCCTGCATTCTATCAGAGATGTTAGTAGCTCTACACCGTTTGGAACATTAGCTCCTGTGTCAGGCAATTAATTGTTTGTGACACCCCACGCGGCCAGAGCGCAGTTCGCAAGTTGTCATGCGTGGAGGCATATTTGCTTGGCTGTATACCTGGCAACTTGTACAATTTGGGTGTTAATATCATGATTTTGGCTTCATATAATTGTGTCATGATTGTGACACAGATTTAGCACAATTTAGACTAAATTGACATGGTTTATCAAAATGTTTGGTGTTTACTTTCCTGTTGAAAGATAAGGGCAAAGTACGCAAAGTAAGGGCATCTAAGGCAAGTGAGGAAAAAACTAAGGAAAAAAGAGTATCTCTATGTATAGAACATGGCATCAGTCTAATCTTCATGCAGACACTCACATCACATCACATCACATCACAAAAGCATCACTTTCAAAGCCAGTCAGCAGCCAGGAAAAGATTTTTGAACAAGTCAGCCGTCAGAAACACTGCCATTATGTTAATTCAGTGTAATTAGCACTGTAATTGACACTATCGTAGTGGAATTTGACTGTGTATCATGTAGACATTTATGTAGTTTTGCTCCATATATAACTATCTGACACTGTGCCATATAGTAACGTTATTTTTAAATGAGTGACTATCAACAGTGCTCAATTTGTAGTTGCCCGAGAGAAAATCCAGTCGTCACGGATGACCGGACGACTGTTAAAATTGAGCACTGTATCAACATCCAGTTTTATCTTTGTGTGGTTAGCAATGTCTATTGCTTGTTTGCAGTACATGAATCCCATTCTATTGACCATGTTAGTAATATGTACACATTTATTGCAAATATTTATATTTTGCATAGAAAATTCATTCAGGTTTTGGAATTATTTGTGGTTTGCTTAGGAAAATTAATGCTGTTAGAATGACTGGAAGTATTGTACAGATGTCTCAAGGATGCAAGAAATAGCTTTCTTCTTTTGCAAACGCAGGTTGCGATTGACATGGTTGTTTTCAGCAATCATAAGAAATCATTACGCCATATAATAGGTTGGCATCTCTGGGCAAGGGAGGGGTGGGAGAGCATCCACGTTAAGTAAGGGAGGGGGGAATACATGTCAAGTAGGAGGCAACCACAGCAAGTGAAGAGGCAACCACGGCAAGGGAGGAGGCAACCACGACAAGGGAGGAGGCAACCACGACAAGGGAGGAGGCAACCACGACAAGGGAGGAGGCAACCACGACAAGGGAGGAGGCAACCACGACAAGGGGGACTGTTACACTGACTCTATTATCCCAAAAATTAGTTTGCTTGGGGGACAAAATATACAAAGCAATAACGTCATTACATAATAATACACGAACATTGAAAACATTAAATTTCAGCGACAGGGAGAAGGAGGGACAGAAATGGGGACGAAAGGAAGAAGGGACTGCTGCAATAGTAACGCTTACAGCAATGTGCAATGGTCACTCTCATCTTGAACACTTTGCTGAATAGAAATCTCTAAATTATATAGGACCAAGTTGTCATGATTTGATCAGTTTGTAGCTTGTTGTACGCAGTAATCTTATTATACTGCTTTGGTAGTCCAATCATCAGTGGGGCTATCTAATAATTTTGTGTTGGGTGAGGGTTAGCATTACTTAGTGGACAATTGTGATGCTGTGTATTGTTACATATGAATGACAATAAGTGCCTCTGATATAGGAACCCTACATCCCTCGTAAGGAGGTGGTGTAAGGAACGCAGTGAAGTGCTGTGAATTGTGAACCGCAACCAAGCCATCAGACTGAGAGCTAGGAAGGCAGACTAAAGACGGCGTAGTGGAGTCGACAGGGTTTCGGGTAAAGGTACTTATAAAGGAAGGCACTCTGGGCATGGGTCCTGTTGCAAAAATTAGATCTTAGTTACACTGTAATCACATGGAACTACTAGGTTTTACTAATGCACGTGTATTGTTGGCAAGGTTTAATCAACAGGTAATCAAATGTGACCATTCATTGCATCGTGTGTCGATCGTAGCTTTAACATGTTGATATAAGGTGAGGAATGTTGGTGGGGGAAGACAGGAGCATATCTGGCCCGGACCATACGAAGAAGTCGTGGTACATTATAGTGCACACGTACTGACTGAGAAGGTATTCTGGCATCCTGGATTAGAATGTTAATCTGGATTATGAATATAAAATGCTAGATTTATATACGTTTAATGTGCAATCAATAATCTAATGGATATACACAAACAGAACTGCATTTGGTATTTGTTGATTCGTATCTATCTAAAATGCATTCAGAAAGCCCTTCATATTAAAGCCACACGAACCTTCAAAGATAACTTTGGGATTGTGCGAAAGAGTGGAGAAGAATGGTTGATCAAGTTTAGTGACACAGAGACACACATACCTGATGTGTACGAGGAGGTAGGTTGCAGTAAATAATGCCTGGGTAAGCTAAGATAACAATCCAATATCACAGCCTATGAGTATCATAACGCCAAACGGTTGGTCTCGTTTTAGCGAAAAATATATGCTGCTTAATGCAATACTATCAACCTATTCTAGACTTAATTGCATTTAAAATGGATAGTTTTGCCGTAATAATCCCGTTTTTCTGTTGTGCACTATGTATTATTAGCTCTTGAAATATATATATATATATATATGCATACTGTGCATACTGTCTAGCTTAATAACAGTTTGTGTGCATATAATATAGTTCTTTATTGAACTTCTTTACACCAGTATCACTTATATGCCCACATATGCTGATTATTTATCCTCAATCAGGTGGTTGGTGTGATTAACATCACAACACTGACCAACCGCCAGTATTGTGTCATTTTGGATCCAATCGGAGACGATGGCAAACCGCAGCTAGGAAAGAAAAAACTTATCAAGGTCAGTTGAAGGGTTAATCCCATTCAGTCACATTACTTGAAGTTGCTTGGAACATTGTTCACATGAACAAGGCTCCATTAATAATAGCATTACATCAGGAGCGTATAATGACAAAGGAGTAAGACAGCAATTTGGTACTGATTTCACTACCATTTTTGTCGTACGAGTTCGATGT